TAAGCAAAGGACAGGCTGCTAAGTGACAACTCCGTTTTGATAGGGGTTAGCTACATTTTTTTAAGTCTTGACGTACTTCTGTGTAGTTTGTTGGATATTTATGGAATTCACAATATCCTTTATCTTAATTTTCCCATAAAGTGGTCTGCAAATGTAATATTGCCCCAGGGATTTGTCCCCTGAGTATACAGCATGATGGCACACACGTTACAGACTGGTGCCAAAACATAAAACCACAGCAAATCCCACCACTGCATATAAAATGTGACAGCATTAGTACAAAGAAAAATGTTAAAATACTCTTCTCAAACACAAATAACATCCCATTTTCAAAGCTCTGTGTTTTTCTCCATGCATTGCTTGTTACTGATGTCAGTAGGAGGTCTGCATGCAGACTGAGAATACAATAAATGAATCAAAACTTGTTTGAAGCTGAGGCTGGGAATAATTTTGCCCAGAGGATTACTTCTACTGACCATCATCTGACTTGCAACTAATAAAGAAATATCCTTCCTATAAACTTGATTTACAGGACAACATGACTAGTGTTAAAAAGGAAAAAGGGTACTGTTAGGTGATGGAAGTCTTTACTAAATAACAAATGACACTGATGCTATAGGGCTTCTTTTATAATAACTTAAAGGCTCACTTTAAAAGCACCTTGACGTTTGACTTCTGCAAACAACCTTAATAACTTTTGTCCATTGCCTATTATTATTCTGTAGTTACCACAGCAGCCATGAATTTCACTGAGGAAGAACAGGATTGTTCGCAGAGAATAACCTGCCCTTGTTAATGGGTTTACCCTCATCAAGGTTAGATATGGACAAAGGGTGAACTGAGAGGCTACACTTTCTTTTGCAACAGTGAAATGCTGAAATAATCTATTTAAAAAGAGACTAATCAATTCTCTTACAGACATTATTTACTCTCTTTACTTAAGAAAATAAAGTGTACCCCCTTGAAACACTGTCTTAACTATAAGAAAAATCAGTACTTTACAGGCACAAATTCTTTGAGGAACATATTTCATTTACAGACATGAGTAAGAGATGCCAGCAATCTAAATAGTTGATTTCTATTTCTACATTATTATCTATTTATTATTCTTGCTGTGGCAACAACAGACGCTATGTTGAATTGAATCCATATTATTCTCCCTAACCTGAGCTGTTTAGGCATTAATTCTATTCTTTTTTTTTGATCTTTGAATATTTAATTGAACAACTGAGAAGTCGTTCTGTTAACACAGCAATTTTATCTGCAAAATAAGTTTTGAGTGACTAATACTGTTTTGACACTGTTATTGTGATAAAAGCATATTTCCTCAGAGTCTGCTCGTTGTTAGTATGTTAGTTGTATGGCGACTGATGCATTAGGGAAACAAAAACAAAAACTTGATAGTGCTATCTGCAGTGGTATTTACAACTATCTTGCTCATTCTGTCCTAACAGGTTGGGATAAATGCACCTTTATTAGTATAGAGACATATTACTATCACTTCTCCTGGTTCCAAAATATGTCATTTTAAAATACTCATTGATTTACAGACTGTACTCTCCACCTCTACTTGTCTGTTTGCCATTTGACACCTTCACTCTCTTACCATGATGTCTTTTCTAATCCCAAATCACAGTGGTAAAAGCAGCATTCAGACTGTACAAGAATCCTGTATAGATGTAGCACGCAGTGGTGCACACCAAATTTTCTATGGAAATCCAGGTCTTCAGTTCGGATTTCAAGAAAAGTAAAAGTCCAGATAAGGATATGACCCTGGCAAGGCTATTCTCAACTTTCTCAGGATATGTAAAGTCTACCCAACCTGCTAAATTCAGGCACTACTGCTCCTAGTTGTGAGTTCACTTTAAGTTAGGTGCATCCCCCACAGATTTCTCTTTGCTTCTTTTTTCCTTGAACCTTTGGTGATTTTGCTCTAGGTTAAACAGCCAAGATTTCAAATTCTGTAACAACATTAAAACAAGAAAGTACAGCACCACTGAATATAACCTGAAAAACAGCAATGCAGAACCAAAAAACCCAGGCCTTTGCAACCTTTTCTAAAGCTAGACTTCCTAACTAGTCAATTTGCTAATTAGAAGTAATAAGACAAAAAGACAAAAACCAATGCAAGACTGCTCAGCTGTTATTGTAGCCCTGTAAGCCAGTATCACCATTGCTAGTAACAAGCTGTAGACCTTGTACCAGCCCTGCAAGACCTCAAGATTAATTTCCCAGACTTTGTCTGGGAATTTCTCCTTGCCTGCCTGGAGTTTTGATTTAGCTTCTTTAGCTGCAGCAATTTTTTTAATGATCAGGTGGCTATTGCCTAATTTGTAACAGTTTTCCTTATATCCCTTATATTTGTTTATATTTGCATAATCTTGTGGTATAATCAATATATTTTACATATACGGTAAAAAGTAATCATTCTGTGTAGGATGAAATATTTATGACTTTAACATGATAACGTGGTTTACAAGACTATAGAAATGGGATAATAAAGACTGCAGGCCTATAAGCAACTTAGCAATGGTCATTAAAAAAAAAACCAACTGGCTGAGGAGTTGGACAAAAAAATGTTAAAGCTAACAAAGAGAAAAAAAGTTCAGAAGAACAAGGAATGTATTAACATACATAAAACAAAATATATAATAAATACAGATAAAAAGTGATGTTGCCAATCAATGAAGAAAGAACAAGGCAAAAAAACGTTAGAAAACGTACTAAATTAGCCCCAAGTGGAACTGAGAATGAGGAAGAAGAAACCATCAACATCACAGTCCTCCTAGTGAAGAATTCAGGATGCCAACAACTCACTAAACCACACTTTTCCCTTCTTTTTGAGGAGGACGGGTGCTGCCAACCTTAGGACCTAAAAGGGCAGCATAAACACTGAGAAAAGGGTAGATACTTGAAAGTGCTTGTGTGACATTTTTAAACTATACTTTTACTGAGACTTGTGCATTAATTCAA